CAAAAGAAACAACTAGAAGAGTTGAAAATTTGTCTCTGGAGAGTGGAGGTGAGAGGATTGGGGTAGGGGACTCGTTTTTCATTATAAGCTTTTTAGCACTATTACATTTTATATTTTGAAAAAGAATTACAAAGATTACTCTTTATTAAAGATTTTATTTGTTTTTTAGAGAGAGAAAAAGCATGTGCACATGTCTGGGGAAGAGGCAGAGGGGGAGCGAAAGGGACAAGCAGACTCTGGGCTGAGTGCAAAGCCCAGTGTGGGGCTTGATCCCATGACCCTGAGATGACCACCTCAGCCAAAACCAAGAGTCAGACACTTAACCAACTGAGACACCCAGGTGCCCCAAGAATTATAAATAACCTTTAAATACTTCTGATTAGACATGAAGAAGATAACTAAAAGGTTTGAAAAATAAGTTTGCTTTGCAAATGCTTGACTCCACTTTAAATAGACTCAAACGGAAATTATACATGATGCACTGTGGGGGCAAAAGAGGCCATGGTACTCATCAATAGACACATTTTCAAAGAAATGGAATTGGCACCATATAAAACTGGTGAATCTACAGTTACACATATTAAGTGAAACTAAAATGTATAAGGTATGTATCTTTTCTTGATTTCCCAATTTACAATGTAATCTTTGACCAACTATCTAAGAGTCTACTGTACAACAGAGAGAGAGAGGGAGAAGCAGGCTCCCTGCTGAGTAAGGGGCCCAATGTGGGACTCGATCCCAGGACCCTGGGATCATGACCTAAGCCGAAGGCAGACACTTAACTGACTGAGCCACCCAGGCATCCCTATGTGGTTTTTTTGATAAATACACTACAACAAAAGAAAATTAAATATTGTAAATGTAATTTCTCTTATGATTTTTTTTTTTTAAAGATTTTATTTGAGAGAGAGGGAGAGCGAACTTGAATGGCGGGAGGGGCAGAGGGAGAAAGAGAAGCAGGCTCCCCGCTGAGTGGGGAGCCTGACACAGGGCTCGATCCCAGGACCCTGAGATCATGACCTGAGCTGAAGTCAGAGGCTTAACTGACTGAGTCACCCAGGTGCCCCCTCTTAATTATTTTCTTAATAATGTTTTCTTTTTTCTACCTTTAATGTAAGAACATATAAAAATATACAAAATATGTGTTAATTGGACAATTTATGTTCTTGGTAAAACTTCTGGTCAATAGTAGGTTATTAGTAGTTAAATTTTGGGGAGTCAGGCGCCTGGGTGGCTCAGATGGTTAAGCGTCTGCCTTCGGCTCAGGTCATGATTCCAGGGTCCTGGGATCGAGTCCCGCATCGGGCTCCCTGCTTCTTGGGAGCCTGCTTCTCCCTCTGCTTCTCTCTCTCTGTCTCCGTCTCTCATGAATAAATAAAATCTTTAAAAAAAAATTTGGGGGAGTCAAAAGTTACATGCAGATTTTTGACTATGTGGGGGGTCAGTGCCCCTAACCCATTTTGTTCAAGGGTCAACTGTAATTATATTCAACTTGCATTATATAGTACTTATTAACTGATCTGAACTTGCTAGCTTGATATCTATTAGCAGGTTTATGCCCTTTATGCCAGGGATTTGTAGTTGGTGGTCAGGAGTTTATGGGTGTTGATTAGGTTAGCCACACTCCAGGGTCAGATGCCTCTTGGAATGATGGAATCAGTGTAGTAGTTGCCTTGTCAAATGGTGGTTTCACTAAATTCTTGTCCCAGAAGTGAAACTTCCTAGTTTTCTATGGAGCAATAAGATGTGGATAAACTTCTAGCACTGGGTATCACCAGTAACTCCAGCAAAGTTTGAGTTTTAAGCACAGAAAACATCAAACTATTGTTTTGGTATCTGCAGATAATAGACCACATAATGACGACTCTGTGATGTGTGTGCCTGAGGGACAAAGAGAAGGAGGAACCCACCCAGTTACTTTTTCCCATGCTTGCAGAACACCACTCTGAGGCTGGAGAATTTTAACTTTCTTGGGAAGTTGTCCAGAGGCTATGAGAGAAGGTTATAAGACACTGACTCCATGGAAGAGTTCCCAAGTCAACAATTCTCCCCATTAGCTGAGCAAAAAGTTACCATTCAGTTTCAGTGAATGGTGGGCTCCTGGGAATCTTGAGAACCACCTGTTAGGGAATAGTGAACAACTTTACATAAAGCCCACCTGACATTCAAATTCAGGGTTTAGGAGTTAACAGATTTTCCTAGAAAGGCTGATCATCAATCACTTGTATAGTGCCCTGCTCACAGCAAAAGACCTGTGTCATTTGTCCCCATTACTGTTTTGTTTTTTTTCAAGATTTTATTTATTTATTTGACAGAGAGAGAGAGCGAGAGCAGGAATACAAGCAGGGGGAGTGGGAGAGGGAGAAGCAGGCTTCCCGCTGAGCAGGAAGCCCGATGCGGGGCTAGATCCCAGGACCCTGGGATCATGACCTGAGCCAAAGGCAGATGCTTAACGACTGAGCCACCCAGGCGCCCCCATTACCGTTTAAAAGTGAGCACAAGCAGTAATGTGGAGTCAAATTCTGGCTCTATCACTGACCTTGTGTTAACCTGTTTGAGCCTTTTATTGGTAAAAAGGGACTAGTAATACCTACCTCACAGGCATGTTGAGAGAATTAAATGGAATCATGCATGTGGAATGCTCAGCACAATGCCTGGCATACAGTTACATACTAAATAGATAGCTTCATATTATTAAGTGCTTGAACCAACAAAATTAGGGATTTTATTTTATTTTTGTTAAAGATTTTATTTATTTGACAGAGAGAGACAGCAAGAGAGGGAACACAAGCAGGGGGAGTGTGAAAGGGAGAAGCAGGCTTCCTGCCAAGAAGGGAGCCCAATACGGGGCTCGATCCCAGGACCCTGGGATCATGACCTGAGCCGAAGGCAGACGCTTAACGACTGAGCCACTCAGGCGCCCCAAAATTAGGGATTTTAAATAGAAGTCAGCAAGTGGACCTCCTCTGTCCAAATCTTGAAGTAAGCAGAGGGTATAATTGAGGGAGGAGGGGGAACAGTTTGTAGGGGTGACAAATTTGATGTCCAGTCTTCCTTCTAACCTTACATTTTAGGCCAACAGTTTGGCCAAACCTCCAGGCTCTGATAGCCTGCCACTGGAATGAAAAAAAATTGGGCAAGCAGATGATATCAGGATATTTCCTATTACCCCATAGTTTTATTTTTTTTAATTTTTTATTAAAGATTTTATTTATTTTGAAGAGAGAGAACAGAGAGAGAGATCATGTGCAAGTGAGCGTAAGGGGCAGAGGGAGAGGCAGAGAATCTCAAGCAGACTCTTCACTGAGAACAGAGCCCGATATGGGGCTTGATCTCACGACCCTGAGAGCATGACCTGAACCGAAATCAAGAGTTGGGTGCTCAACCTACTAAGCCACCCAGGTGCCCCTACCCCATACTTTAATAAAGTGAAGTCTTTCTCTCTGCCCAGCCTACAATGAAATTAATTAGAAATGAGACTCAGACCTCTTTGGATTGGTACCAAGTCTTGTTTACTAGAGTTTAGGTAGTGAACTGGGTAGGAAAACCCCAGGCTTGGTGCTCAGTTCTCTCATAGTGAGAAGTCCCATCTGGTAGGGGCAGGCAGGGTTGGAACAGCCAGGAGAGGCCTATTCTTGAAACAAGGAAAATTTATGGAGTAGGTCAAGTGTGTTTCTCTGAGAGAGGGTGAAGAGCTTCTTATTTGGAGACAATAGCAGCCCCATGGCATAATGCTAGGACAGGTGGGGGCCAACGGGGGAGGGCCGGTGTGGGGCTATTAGGGGGATTTCTAGGGTCCACCAGTGGGACCCTTTATACAAACCTTACCTGAAAGCTGGATATGTAAAACAGAGCTTTGTTGTCATTAGAAAAAGGATAGAAAGTGCCTAATAGAGTCTTATACAATATTAGTCTCTCTCAATCTTAACTGTGTTTTATATTTACCAGTTACCCCCTACCCTCAGCCCAATAAAACTTTGCTTTAGTACCTGCCTACACTTTTTTTCCTTCACATATGTTCTCCATTCTGTTGGAAATACCCTTTCTCCTCTATTTCTGTGCTTTCAAACAATTTATCTTTTAAGACCTTAACCAATTGTCACATCTCCTCCAAAGCCTCCTCTAACTTCCTGTTTTAGTCATTCAAATATCATTTATTAATTTTTTACCTACAAGTATTTATTAAATCTCTATGTATTAGAGCATTAGAGCATTATGTATTAGGCACTGCTAGGCATTGTGGGTATAATACAATCAGATATTTACTCACTGCCTATTAAAAATCCTTCAGTGGTTCCCTATAAAATTAAAATGCTTAGCATGGCTAATAGCATCTTCAATTTTCTGGCCCCTGCCAAGTTTACAAGGCTTACTTCCCAGCACCTGTCTTCTTTACACTTTATCTGTACCCAAGGACTTGGAGTTCAATGAATATGGCTCTTTCTCAACCTTCTGTTCCTTGGTCTGTGCAATATTCCCTTTTTGTCTACTTGGCGAACTCCCATCATCCTGGCAGCATTGTGTGAAGTCTTTTCTAAAGGATTCTCCTGTGCTCATTCAAATCCAATAATATCAGGTACTTCCTCTTTTGTGGTCCCACATCATTCCATATTTAATTTACCATATTTAATTTTTTCATAGACTATATTGCAAATTTTTTTTTGCATATTTATCTTTATCCAATAGCCACTGTATGGCAGCGATCTTATCCCATCCATCCCCAGTCACCAACAGAAAGCCTGGCACAAAACTGTACTTAGTAAATGTTAACTAAATGAGCAAATGAATAATAATGAACATTTATTCAGTTAAACAGATTGAATGTCTTAATATGGATATTAAATGACAGAAGAGGGAAACTCAATGGATAATCTCCCTACTCCATAATTTTAACTGGTGACCGGTGTAATTGTTAATTATGGGCGATAAAGCTCTAACTCAAGGTAGAAAAGGAAATGGCCAAGAAGCTCTTCTAATCCTCTACCCTATATTCCCCTTACTTGTTTCTTCAGTTGTGTCCCTTTTCTTGTTCCGAAAGGAATTTTGATATCCCAACAGATACAAGTTGAAGAAGGCCATCTCAGCTCTTCCCCGTCCTCTTCTGGAACATTCAGGCTGGAGCACTGGACTCTGTGTTTGGTAACCATGGTAATGCCCTAAAGAATTACTATGACTAACACTCCCTTTGTCTAAGGAGACACAGGATTTATGGGTTCACAGCAGAGCTAGAGTGGGAGTGGGCTAAGTAACTTTGGAAAAACGGAGGTATCAAGTGCCAGTTACCCTTTTTCTTGTCCCAGTCTTTTTTATACTGTAAGTTTCAGAAGGCAGTGAATAAAAAGAGCACTGACCTGGGCTCAAATATTAGTTTTGCCATATTCTCAGTATCTGAGTTTGAATAGGTTAAGCCTTTTTAAAAAATGGCAATGGTATCTATTTCAGAGTCATAAGAATTAAATGATAATGTATGCAAATTTCCTTAGCATAGTGTTCAGCATATAATGGAAACATAAACAGTATTTAAATGTGAATATGGTACTTCTGATGAGTCTTTAAGTTATTTCAAGCAGTGGTGTGTTGAATCAGTTCATACTGATTTTTGAGCTGCCTCTTAAATTTTCAGGAATTTTGCAAGCTGGTTGTTAAACAAGCCATTATTTAAAATTATCTAAACTTACAATTGAATAAATATGAAAAATAAAAGTAGTAAATACTAAAAACTCATCTCTTTCTAATTATTTTACTACATTTTACTATTATCTATGCTCATGAAGTTATATCTATTGTATGTGTATATTCTGCTGTTTTTCTTTTTTCTCTTTACTTTTCAGTTTGGGAAGTTGTCTTCCCAACTGATTAATATATCTTCAAACTCACTGATTCTTTCCTTGGTTGTGTCCAGTGTATTGATAAGCCCATCAATGGCATTCATTTCCTTCCAAGTGGGCTTTTTTTTTTTTTTTTAAGTTAGCTCTAGGCCCAACCTGGGGCTTGAACTCACGACTCCAAGATCAAGAGTCACATGTTCTACTGACTGAGCCAGCCAGGCAACCCTGTTATGGGTTTTTTATTTCTTTATTTCTTTTTTTATTTTTTTATTTCTTTATTTTTTTATTTATTTGAGAGAGAGAGAGAATGAAAGATAGAGAGCACGAGAGGGAAGAGGGTCAGAGGGAGAAGCAGACACCCTGCTGAGCAGGGAGCCCGATGTGGGACTCGATCCCGGGACTCCAGGATCATGACCTGAGCCGAAGGCAGTCGCCCAACCAACTGAGCCACCCAGGCGCCCTGGGTTTTTTATTTCTAACATTTCCTTTTTATTCTTAGTTTTCATCTCTCTGCTTCATTACTCATCTATTCTTGCATGTTGTCCACTTTTTCCATTAGAGTTCTTAGCATATTAATCAGTTAAATTCCCAGTTTGACAATTCAAAAATTTCTGCCATGACTCTGGTTCTGATACTTGCTTTGTCTCTTGAGACTGTATTTTTTGCCTTTTAGCATGCCTTATAATTTTTTTTTTTGCAGGAAGCTAGACATGACATATTGGGTAAAAGGAATGGATGTTTTACGTTTATCTGTTTGGGAGTTTGGTTGCTGTTTTCTGTTTGCGAGTTTGGTTGCTGTTAACTGTTTGCGGGTTTGGTTGCTGTTAACTATTTGCTATGGCTGTAGGTATCAGAGGCTAAAATTTCCTCTGACGTCTTTGTCTCCCCTGTTGTCTTTGGGTTTCCTTACACACTCCTTAAATGGGTCTGAGTTTGTAGTTCTTTCTGTTGTAATCCCGTTATTATATAGGAGATCTATTGATGTGTTAAGGGGGACAGGTGAGGAAAGTGCTTTATAATCATATCAGGTCTCAGTTTTTTAGTGAGCTTGTCCCCTCCAGACTGTGACCCTTACAAATGCTGGAGTTGGTTATTTTCCTTCTCCTACATTGGTTAGGCTCTGTTAAGTAGCTTCCACTGAGGACAGGTTTTTGTTAAGGACAACTGAATTCTCTGGGTCTAAGTAGCTCTTTTTTCCCTTTCCCTCCCAGAAGGACAAGGGGATTTTTCTCCAATCTTCATAGTTAAGACCTATGGGGCTCCTGGAAGTAAAACTCATGAAAGTGTGGGGGCCCTCAAAAGGTTTTTTTTGTTTGTTTGCTTTTAGTCTCTCAATCTAGGCCAAGTTCAGTCTCCAGCAATTAGTCAATTGCCTTTTATGTATTCCTATCAGTTGCTGGTTTCAATAGTAGTTTTTGCTCTCAGTAAGCCATGGGTCTCTGTTCTGCCTCTTCTGATTCTGCCTGTCTCTCCAGGTTTTGTGGTAGAGGTTTGCCCTGTCCCCTTAATTCTCTGCTCGATCTAACAAGGGTTGATGATTTTCAGTTTATTCAGGTTTACTGTTGTTGTTATAAGAACAGAAGCAATGACTTCCAAGCTCTTTACATATCAGACTGGAAACCAGAAGTCCCTGTCTATTTTATCTATATGGAGGAAATATTATGTGATGGTGTGTTCATCTCTTCCCAAGTCCATGCTCGGTGATGTCATGTTGGTAGCTTGAAACTGGCCATAACGGGAGAATTTAGACTACAGAAATGGTAAATGCTGCAAACAAAAGCTTGACTTAGTATGTAAATAATGTAGATTAAGTTTAAAAGTATGTTGTATCTATGCCCATTACATTGTCAAGAGCACAAAAAATGGAAAGGTTCTTCCGGTTTTCAAAAACTATTATCCAATTCAGCAAAGATGTTGCTCAATCACTGACAAATAAGTTCCAACTTAAGTCTCACTGTTTCACTTTTTTTTGGAGAGGGGAGGGGCAAAGGGAGAGGGAGAGAGAATCTTAAGCAGGCTCCATGCTTGGCCCCTTATTGTTTCACTTTTATCTTACTGATTAATGCAAATGAAAATGTCAACCAACAATCAAAACTATTCTCATTTGCTGGGGTGCCTGGGTAGCTCAGTCTGTTAAGCACCTGACTCTTGATTTTGGCTCAGGTCATATATGATCTCAGGATCTTGAGATCGAGCTCTGCATGGGGCTCCGCGCTCAGTAGGAAGTCCGCTTGGGGTTCTCTCCCTCTTTCTTTCCCTCTGCTCCTCCTTTGTATGCTCTCCCTTTCTCAAATAAATAAATAAATCTTTGAAAAAAAAACTATTCTCATTTGTCAAATGCAATCACAGGTTGGTTGTTGAATCAAGAAGTTGGCAAAACTGAGCAAAAGCATTCTATGAGAATCAACTGGCTATAAGAAATTTATAATAAAGATTGTATATTTTTTATAAATGTGTGCTACACATCCTTTATATCAGTAAGTTCATGTTTGAAATTATGTATGTATAAATACAGATACAATGATTTTCTGGATAGCTGGTTGTTAATAATTTACCAGTACACCCACACCATGGCCAATTTCAAGCTATCAGCATGACATCAACTGAATGTGGAATTGGGAATAGTTACAAATGGCACACCATCTTTTCATGCTTTAATTTGGAGACTATATAAATATTGTAAAGAAATTATTTTAATAGTAGTAGATGGTAATGTTTGATATAGCTGAAATATGACATTCATAAGCACAATGCAAAATAAGATCAAACCGTGAAATATGGTATAATCCTGTATCCACAACAAGATTAGTCCAGTGAATAGGAAAAGTAGCCTGATAGGTTTCTTTTATAGGAAACAGAGTCCTATTTATTTATTTATTTTAAAGATTTTATTTATTTGAGAGAGAGAATGAGAGAGAGAGAGAGAGCACATGAGAGGGGGGAGCATCGGAGGGAGAAGCAGACTCCTCGCCGAGCAGGGAGCCCGATGCAGGACTCGATCCTGGGACTCCAGGATCATGACCTGAGCCGAAGGCAGTCGCTTAACCAACTGAGCCACCCAGGCGCCCCAGAGTCCTATTTAAATTAAAAAATAGAAGAGAAAAAAAAGGAAAATTCCTCTAGTTTTAAGATTTTTGTCAGTTGTTCTTTAAGGGCAATTTATCTGAAGGCTAACATTATTTTGACAATAAACATGTACTGAACACCTACTGTGTGCCAGATGGTGTCCCATCAGGATGCAGAGATGACATTTAAGATCACACAGCTAAGGGCAGCTGGGTGGTGCAGTCAGTTAAGCGTCTGCCTTCAGCTTAGGTCGTGATCTTGGGCCCTAAAATTAAGCCCCACGTCTGGCTTCCTGCTCAGCCGAGAGTCTGCTTCTGCCTCTCCCACTCTCCCTGAAGGTGCTCTCTCTCTCAAATAAATAAATAAATAAATAAATAAAATCTTTAAAAAAAATCACACAGCTAGTTAAAAGAAGAGCTGGGAATTTTAAGGACATTATACTAAGTGAAATAAGGCAGTCACAGAGACAAACACTGTATGATTCTACTTACATAAGATATCTAAAGCAGTCGAACTCATAGAAACACAAAGTAGAACGGGAGGTGTCAGGGTTGGGAGGGGGGAAATGAAGCATATAGACATAAAGTTTCAGATCTGCAAAATGAAAAAGTTGTGGAGACCTGTTACATAACAATGTGAATATAGCTGACCTACCTGTGGAACTGTACACATAGAGATAGTTGAGGGTTTAAAAAAATAAAAAAGAATAGCTGGGATGAGTCCAGGCCTGATTCAAAACTCTTGTTTAGCAATTGTTATTACTGCCTCCTACTTTCAAATATTTATCCTCTCAAAGAATACTTCCTTTCTCTGAGTTACACAGGCAGGATAGCAAGCCATTGATTACCACCTGCATTGCCTAGAGCTTAAGATAACAGAATTTTTTCTTGGAAAATTGGTATATTCAGCCGGGAGAGCAAATTCAAAATGGAGCCATCAATCCTAGAGTTTAAGTGGAGGACCAGGGGCGTCTGGGTGGCTTAGTTGGTTAGGCGTCTGTCTTTGGCTCAGGTCATGATCCCAGGGTCCTGGGATTGAGCCCCCAGGTCAGGCTCCCCGCTCAGCAGGGAGTCTGCTTCTCCCCCTCCCCCCAGCTCATTCTCTCTCTCAAATAAATAAATAAATCTTTTAAAAAAATATGACTACATAATTGGAAAAAATGCTTATTCTGTTAAAAGAAACAAGATGTTAGAAGTTTGAAATCATAAATTTTTTACATGTTATAACCCGAAATAAGTCATTTAAATCTTCCTGAACCTCAATTTTTCTGGAGTAAAATGTAGCTAATGCTAATTATAGGTAGTATATGGCAAAGGAGGGCCTGAAATGGAAGGGAATACTTCTGAGAATTAGAATCAAACTGAGTGGGAGCAGCCATGTCTAAAATGAAAAAACTCAAAATATTATAAAAGACAAAGGCTTCTAATACTACCCCTACCCCAATTTAATCAAGGTAAATTGTTTCAGGAAAGCAGGAATACAGTTTGCTAGAATGGAAAGAACAATGGAATTAGACTTGATTTAAAAATCAACACTTAACAAGCTGTGTAGTGTAGGGCAAAC